TGTTTCTTCTACAAAAAAAAGTAAATTTTTCTCAAAAAAAATTTTTGCAGAGACCCCACTCTGCTTACTATGAGGACAACTGCCACACAAAGGCAGTTTTGTGTCCACCCAGACTTTGGGTTTTGCGGTTCCTTTACAAAACAGAAAGGTCTTAGAGGGTCTTCCCTGAACAATGGCATATTCGCCCTGCCCTGAAGTCCTGGTCCACAGGAAGTTTTAGACAGAGGTCTCCACCAACTGATGCAGGGCAGCAGCCCAGTACAAAATACAGAAAAAAAGCTTTGGTTTCTTTTCTCAAAGAAGCATGTCCGTCAGCAGCAACCACGTGAACCCTCCTGGTGTCCGAGGGTCAGCCTCCTTCCAACTGGCTGCTGTCATCTACACAGTGCATTGCAACCAAAGCCATAATCAGAGCGGACACGTACAATTGTCCACTGTGTGCCAGGCCCTATGCTGGGGCTCCATACCCAGAATATCACTTAATCTTCACAACAGTCTGAAGAGAAGAGCCTTAGTACCCACTTAATAGATGAGGAAACTGAGGTTCAGCTGGATTAAGAAAAGTTCTCAAGCAAATGACTTAAGAGCAATTCTAATTAATGCCTGCCATTCTCGAGCCTGTGCTCTGACCTCCACCCTGCACTGTCATCAACCATATTAAATGGTGAGTTTGGAGGCGTGTGTGGGCCTTGCTCTAATTAGTATGTGTACATTAATGCTAAATTTGTATCTATTTATACTTAGGTTAAGGGCCCAAAGTGATTTTAGAGAATGCTGAAGAGCAGCTATCTCTCCTCTTGTCTAGCACCTGAGAAAGAGCAGTGGTCGGGAATGACGGGCTGCCCCTGCCACACTCTGGGGAACAGAGGCCTCGGCTTGCAGCCTCAGAGTGGTCCCAGGGACCCCTCAGTGATCAAAGTCACAGACGAATCTGCCAGGGGTGTCAAGGCAGCTTCTCCTCAAAATAATAACACATCTGCATTTTTCTGCTGCAGCCAGAATGCAAATTTCACATTCTTGTAGTTAAATTTATTGAGTCCACGTTTATTCAGACCTGGCACATGGCTAGGGCCCTATATTGAGAAGCCTGGAATCCCTGTGTTCTTTCCTACTCCTGTTGCTACTGGGGGGTTTTCATCCCAGTCCCATTTGATTCAGCAACATGTGCGGGGGCAGGGAGGAGGCAGGCAACCTTGTCCAACAAGGCCAGAGAGACAGCACACCTGCCCTCCAGATGCAAAGAGCTTATATAAAAGGGAACAACGTATGTAACAAATTTCCCCCCAAATTACAATGCTCAGAGAGAGTGGGTTAGAGAAATAAATCTAAGAGAGAAGAGTGGCAGATGGGATAGATGGATTCAATTAAGGCAAAGAACATCAAACAATTCCGAGGATGCCTCGTTTTAATGGAACATGTTATTTTCTCCTCGTGGCCTCCAGATAACTCCCAACAACCGTCTAGTGGAAAGCAGAGGGTGTACACAGTGCCTCAACCCCAGCGGGAGTTTTAGATCCTACAATGAGAGAGCTAATATTCCCTCTTCTCTTCTTTTCAATAACGTGGTGAAACAGCACATGAATCAGACTAAGCAGGCTACGTATCTGATGCACATTTCTACAGGTGTTATTCCCATTAAACAGGCATTTCCCATTGTCATAGTCACTGAACTGATTTCTTTATATGGTCTATGGGAGAGTCTCCTTTTTAATTAAACCAACCACTGTCACTTTTCTAAGAAAGACAATAAAAATATTTATATACTTTTTATCCTCCTAAACATAAATCATGAGGGATAAGTGGTGCTATGCCTTTGCTAGATAGTTCTATCACATAGACATTATGCTAACACGCTTTATATTGTTGCTTTGCAGGTCAATTTATTCCTATTAAGAATGTATAAGATACCTGTTGTCACTAACAGTATTTGTAACTACTTACTACCAAAAGAAATTCATGTCTGCAGTAATTTTGCAATACACATAGTTAACAGATAAGCACAGATGTGCATATAATAATATATATGCACAATGTGGACCTACATACTACACTTAACTGACCCCAATTTTCATCTAAAGTCAAGTGTGAAAGTCTAGTAGTTTGATGAGCAATGCCGTTTTTATTCCCTGGCTCTGAGCAGTGCCAGTTAATTGACAGCCACATTATCGTATTTACAAAGTGATAGGTGGGTTGTAGTTTCACAAAGATAGTATTATTATCTCTGTAGTCAATGGAGAACCTGTGGAAGACTTAGAATAGAAACTCTACAATTACACTCCATAACTCTAACTGCAATAATGTATAGTTGTTCTGATTATCAGTTAAAATGGCAATGTAGCTGGTCTTTTTTTGCAGAGATGCTAAATCAGGTTAGATTCCAGCCCATTCTTTACTATGTTGCAGGGTAAAATCCTCTCAGCTACAAGAGAATAATATTTAGGCTGTCATACCATCTTCTGGGTGTTGTGCAGAGATAACCTCTACTTGACTCAGCTGAGAGAGTAAACTCATATTAAAATATCGAACCATTGCCTGGTTTCTCTGCAACTGAGGTGCCCTTGACTAAGGAAAAGTCACCTTTGATTTTTTGAGTGGTTTAAAGTGGCTCTAGAAAAGGAGGCAGAATTTTTCTGGAAGATCAAGTGACTGGCTCCAAGCAAGTCCCTACATCATCGTGCACATAGTTTGAGGCGGGCAGGGTGTGCCAACCGCCAGCATGATGGCCTCGATATCATAGCCTTGTTTCCAAAGTTAGTTATGACTCTGTCACCAGAGAATTCTTTCAACAAAATAGTAATTGAGTTTAAATAGCAAAAACTTGAATTTTCAAGGGATAAAGATAAATGATAAAACTCAGAGTACAGGAAATACTAGTGTAAACCAGTTCCACAAAGCTGGCAAAAAGACTTTCGGGAAAGATGATACACAATTCACAGGAGGCTCAAAAGAGGAACAAGAGAACTCTGCTCTGACATTTCTTTTATCAAACTTATTTTTCTGGGAAGTTTTCTGTTATCCATTCACTTTATACTCAAGTCATTCTCTTGTAGTTGTGTATTGCTAGGTAACAAGTTACTCCAACACTTAACAACTTAAAATGACAAACACGAGTCATCTCACTGTTTATGTGGGTCAGGAATACAGGCATGACTTAGCTGGGTGCCTGCACCTCTAGGTCTCTCACAGGTGTGGGCCAGGGCTATGATCTAATCTCATGGCTCAACTGGAGGAGGATAAGCTTCCAAACTCACTCGTGTGGCTGGTGACAGGATTCAGCACCTCACAGGCTATTGGACTAAGGGCCTCAGCGCCTCACTGAGGCCTCCCTCAGTTTCTTGCCACCTGTGCTTCTCCCTAGGGCAGCTCACGACATGGCAGTGCTCTTCCTTAGAGCAAGCCAATGACAGCAAGACAAAAGCCATTGTTTTTTTGTAACCTAACCTCAGAAGTGACATCCCATCAGTTTTGCCAAATTGTGTTTGTTGGAAGCAAGTTATTAGGTGCAGCCACACTGAAGGTGAGGGGATCATACAAGGGTATGAATACCAGGACACGGGGACCACTGGGGTCATCTCAGGAGCTGCCAACCACATCTTTCCTTGCAAGCACGACAATGGAAGAATAAACACCAAAATGGGAGGAAAATCTGAAAGAAGTAGGAAAAGAAGAAAATGTTCCAGGATCTCATTACTTATGCCTCGCAGCCCTCATTCTCCCAAAATCCAAGCATACAACATAGCGTGGAGTCTCTTACCCCTGTCTCTTTTTCTCTCCTCCATGGGAGCATGAGAGTTCAGGCCTTCATTCCTCCACATTATCAGTAGTGTAGCACTACTTTCCTTAACCAGTTTCCATAGCACAACACATCCTGGACATCAAGGCCAGAGTCATTTTCCTAAATCATGCTTCCTAGTTATCTGTAAGCTGCGGAAAGCCCCTGTAGTGACTCTAGACAAGACCTAGACCCTTTAGCCTGCCATTTAGTGTCTTCCATAGTTTGACCCAGGCCTGACTATACAAACTCATCACCCTCAACTCCCAACAGTAACCAAACATCCCCGGTAAACCACATTCAACACCTGAACACACCACACTTACACACAGCCTGAAGCCTCTGCTAACACTATCACTCCCCCTCCCTTGGCAAGACCCATCTTCGCTTTATCATTTGTAAATCCTTCCCCATTTCCAAGATGCAAGCAGATCCCATCTTCTCAGTGACATTTTCTGATCACCCAAACTAGATTTCAGTTCCTCCTCTGAACAGGCACAGCTCTGCGAGACATACCATTTACTGCCCTGGCCAGTCACCTGCCCTGTTTTCCCAAAGAGTTGCTATGTTTCACACCTTCATTCTTTCACAGAGACCACCAGACTACATTTCCCTGAGAGTTGGACTGGATCTCACTTGTCTTCCTCTGCCAAGAGTGATTGGTACATGACAGGGAATATTTGTTGAAAAGATGGATGAATAGATGGATGGGAGGGAGGGGGGAAGGAAGGAATGGTTCAGCACAAGGCTAGTATCATAAGAGGTCAATAACTAACAAATATTTGTTAACACCACTAATCCTTGAAATGAGAATTCTCCATCAGTGGCACCTTGGCCACTTAGTGGTCCCTATGTAGGAACCCTTCCAAACAGAACAAAGGCAAATGATATTTCTCTGACCCTGACAAAATTTTTAAACAAGCCTATTCACACAAACATCACAACATAAGCCCACCGCCCACCCTAACGCTGGCTCTGAGATACAGGAGGCCAAGTGGAGGGAAATTACATGGCACAGTCAGGGCAGAACTCAAGAATAGAGTTATGTCAAATCAGTGCGCTTCAGCCATGGGAAAACAAAAGTGGTAATAAAAGGGTGCTGGGGAAATAGAGAAAAATATATCTATTTTGGGGGAGTGTCCGTGTTTTAGGTAAGTCTGAGTAAACAAAAGGATTTTTAAAAAGAGTGAGAGATACCAGGAGACCTTTTAAGGCCTGTATTGCCTACCTCTCTGAGAAGAGGGAGGAAATCTCAATCAAAGTATCAAACGTCCAAAATTCAGAGGAAATCTAACGCTTCATATCCAGCTGGTTGGAAAATTTAAACCTAAAATGAGTTCTCCCAGGAACCAGATTCCTGGCCGTACGTTTCTTGCACTAGAGGCGGCCACGCTCCTCTCACCGTAGGGAGCGCGGAAAACTCCAGAGGCTGCGTGGACGGGAGCCGGTGAATCCGCTCTCCCGCTATCGCGGTCCCGGAGCACAGCCTGCGCAGTGGGTCTCTGGGAGCCGGAGGAGCGCACCGCTCGGAGATTCTGGGGACGGCGGGCGCCGAGTTTGGAGCTTTACAAGTCCCGCAGGCTGAATGGGAAGGCAGCGCCTCTCGCCCCAAACTCGCTTGCTTTTTAGAACCACTTCCATCTACTTTCCGATTTCAGCTCCCAAAGGCATCCGGAGAATCCTCCACGGTCCCAGGTCCACCGTGAAAGAGAAGGGTAAGGGGAGTGGTGACTGGGAGGCGAGGTCACCAGGGTCCCTTCCCTGGCTCGGTGTGGTCGTTGGCGGAGCGTAGCGGGGAGGCTGCAGACCTGCTTGTCTCTGCCCCACTGAGCCGCGGAAATCCGTGCAGCGGTGCCTCCTCGTCGTGGGCGCCGTGGGCGTCAGGGACCCCACAAGGGAAGGACACCCTGGAAGGGCTGCAGGCGGAAACTTTCCGTCCTCTGGCGGCAACTGTGCAGCAAAGACCACCCTTCCTATGGCCGAAAGTCGTGCCTCTCCGGGGTTGGCCCCCCGCACCCCATCCCAGCCCCTCGGGGCCGCCGGGCGTCCCGGCGGCAGTGCAGCACCTCCGCGCCGGCAGCCTCCGGTCCCCGGCGCCCGGCGCTGGGCCGCCGCGGCCCCTCCCCGCGGCCGCCGAGCCGCGGGAGCCTCTCTGCTGCCTCTGGCGGCTGCGCGAGCGCCAGCGGCCCGTCAGGCTGCGGCTCCGGGCCGCGGCTCCGCCTCCCCTCCCTCCCCGCCCCCCGCCCCCCGCCTCCCGCCGCCCATCCCTCCCGCCCTCCCCCTTCCAGAGCACTCAATGTCGGAACGTTCCGAAGATGACGTCGGAGCGTTCTCGAATCCCGTGTCTCTCGGCTGCTGCTGCCGAAGGAACAGGGAAAAAGCAACAAGAAGGAAGAGCAATGGCGACACTGGATCGCAAAGTGCCCAGTCCGGAGGCGTTTCTGGGCAAACCCTGGTCCTCCTGGATCGACGCCGCCAAATTACACTGCTCCGACAGTAAGAACCCCACCGCCTCCTCCTCCTTTTATTATCCTGTAACCTTTCCATTCACCTAGAGCCACTGGGAAAAAGTGTGTGTGTGAGAGAGAGAGTGGCCCCCGGTGTCCTCCATGCTTCTCTCTCTCTCTCTCTCTCTCTAAATAAATACACACAGAGACAGAGCATCAATGCACAGAGAGAGGCCCTGCTGCCAGGGCTGTCTGTCTGTCTGTCTGTGCCGGGCTCCCCGTGGCAGCCCGCGGGGTGGGCTTTCACAGCCCCATGGTGTATCTGTTTAAAAGGCTACTCTGTTGCTGCTTGCATAGTTTTTTTGGTACCTATCTGGGCCAGGTAGATGGAAATCCGGACTTGGGAGAAAACGTCGCATTGTCAATTTTGGAAAGATTTTCATATACAGTATTTATATCAATCTCTTGGCAAATAAACACTCTCCCTCCCCCCCCCCTTGACTTTGGCTTTCCCCCCTTTTTTTCGCTTTTTTCTCTTATTTTCTTTTTTCCTTTTCTTTTTCATCTGCAGATGTAGATTTAGAAGAGGCTGGAAAAGAGGGTGGAAAAAGCAGGGAGGTTATGAGGCTTAATAAAGAAGGTAAGTGGAGCTACTGGCATATTAGTGTTAGCATGTGTGGCAGAAATCTTCACAGGATTTCGACTATAATGTGAATTGTTCTGCTGGGTACAGAGTGACTAAGGTTTGTCAAAAATTGAGCACGCCCAGGTGTCTACTGCTTGGTGTTAACTTCTTTCAAAGTATAAATACAACAGGGGGGGATGGTAAATGGGGGAGAGTGTTGGAAGCAGAAGTTTACCGCACTTCAGTTGGAGTCCACGTTTGGACCTTCTGATGCCTATCTGCCATGGGCATTTGCAGCATCATTGCCAGAGGTGGGGGGGGGGCTTAAATCTGTGAAATGAGCAGGGCTTCCCTCAAAAGCATCCCAGCCTATCTTGTGGGCAAATACACAACAGTTTAATGAACCCCACACAGTCAGTCATTCTTCACTCTTCACTGAAAACCATTGTGAATGGCAAACCTTTGCAGCAAGTTACATTTGCCCACTTTGTGCTTGGTCACAGAGTGTTATATGGCCAGCAGGGTTAGGGGTGCCTGTGTGTGCAGCCCCCCAGCTGGTCGCCTGTCTCTGTTTTCCCAGCATGGAAATACAGTACCTGAAGTGGGACACAGTAGGTAGACAGGTCATCCCTGAGTGATGCAGGCAAGTGAAGCTACAGCCTCCTGGAACTGAGCATCAAACACACATGGTCGTCATAAATAAATCATATCCTGTTCATGTTTGCAAGCCTGCCATATGTAACTCTGGCCTATGGGCTCCACATGGAGCAACTCCAGAGACCACTTTCTGCTGAACGAATGGATGGGTTCGTTTGAATTGTGATTTACTAACTGATGTTTTGTAAACATGGTTGGCTGAAACTGGATGTGGGAGGGTGGTGTGAGGGGCCAGAAGAGGTTGGTGGGAAGTGTTGAAAGAGTTTAGCCATAACTAGGCCATTAGGAGCATTGTTGGTCCCAAATGCATGGAGAAAAGGCCATTAGATTTTAAAGAATGGTCTCCCTCATAAATTGGGATATCATCCTCCAAGACAGCCAAAACCTGCTTGGAACTTATTCTTGATCGATACCTATGACAGTTGGTTTTCTGTGCCTAATCATTTCCTGACCATCTAGTGAAAAGAAAATTTGTACTTAAGAAAAAATAACATGGAGGTTCAAATGCATGCATATTCAAGGACAACCACTCTAGCATAGTGGTTCTGCTAATTAAGCACTGTGATTGGAAATGAAACCTCATTCTAAACACGTTTGCCTCTAGGTACCTTAGTGTAATCTTGACATATCTTTAGGATGAGCAAGGGAATGAAGTCAAGTAAACTTCTCACCAGTGGCAGGTTATTTGTGCTAAATGTCCATGAGTGTAGGCAATGGGGAGTTTTATTAGAATTATTTTTCTTCACAAACTCTTGAGATCTTTAAAAGCTTATGGGACCCAGTTATCAAACCACTGACAAGGGAAAGTTTCCATGAAAGGAGATGAGATTGTGAAAACATTTAAAGTTGAGTAAAAGGTCATGCTATGGCACAAAATTGTCACCTCTGGGGCCTAGTGATCAATTATGACTACAACACAAAACTCATATTCTGTACCCTTCTCCCTACTTCTCCTTTAAAAGACTCTTATTCTCAGATTCTCTTTGCCACATAAGAAATAGGTCCCTTTAAGGAAAAATGAAAAACTCTCCTTTCCTCTGAAGTCACAAGTGGTACGCCCTGCTAATTATGTCCTTTGTCCTGTAAAGGTACAAAAATTTAGCTCCCAATTATATGCATTTGCATTAAGGACACTGCTGTTCAGTGTAACATGCAGTTACCGAATTCACCAAATAGCCATGTATGGGTGGAAATCTCTGTTCATCGGCCTGGTAGAGAAGACTTGGCTAAGCAATTCCTGAAGGTCTTCTTGGTATATATGTACACAGTTTTCTTCACTGAGAGAGTACACATTAACTAAATATATATCCACGCCCCCTGCCACGATGAGAAATTTAAGAGTCGAGTTGGGACTCTGTCAGGGTGTTTGGTTGCCAGGATCTCCAGAAACACTGGTTGCATCAGTCTTGGCATGGGTTTTCTTATTGGAGTCATCATGTAGGTGGCCTTAGGATGCATACATGTTTGTGGATAGGTCACTGCACAGCACGTCTGTTTTTCTATGTATGTGAACATATGTAGATTGACCATGATGTTGTTGGTAGTCAGCTGGTCTTGAGAAGAAATTTGGGCATTAATAGCAATGAATGTATAGCAATTGAGAAATGAGGGATATGATCCAGATTTGGATATGATTTTTTATTGTGACAAACATAATATAACATTTACCATTCTAACCATTTTAAAGTTTACAGTTCAGTGATATTGAGCACATTCACAGTGTTGAACAACCATCCCCACTGTTCATTTCCTGGCTTTTTAATCACGCCAACCAGAAATCCCGTACCCATTATACAGTAACTACCCCTTCCCATTTCACCCTTAGCCCTGGTAATCTCTATTTTCTGTCTCTGTGAAGTTGCCTGTTCTCGATAGCATGCATAATCATGTAAGTGAGATATATCCTGCAATATTTGTCCCTTCGTGGCAGGCTTATTTCACTTAGCATAACGTTTTTGTGTTTCATCCATGTTGCAGCGTGTGTCGGAATGTCACTCTTTTATATGGCTGAATAGTATTCCATTGCGTGTATATACCATGTTTTTTATCCATCTATCTGTTGATGGATGTTTGGCTTGTTTCCATCTTTTAGCTATAGTGAATAATGCTGCTATGAACATTGTTGTAAGATGATTTTTTTATAGATTAAGCTCAGGGAGAGAATTTAGGCTGGAAATGTGAAAAATAGTCATTTTGCCTTCTGTCTTTGGCCTCAGCTTCAAAAGACACAGGAAGGACTTGCAGACTTCTACAATAACCTGATTATTGCGATACAATTCCTTCTTCATTCCTCGTTCCTTTCACCTTTGTGTGCTTCAGTTCTTCACCTATGTCAGTAGGAAGTGTTAACTGAATGCTTTGAAATCTCTGTAATAAAGTCTTCACATCAATATTATTATTTCATCCAGAGTTAGCTAAAATTAAAGTCAAGGGGAATTTGGCAAATGGTTTTGAACCTTGCCAAATCATCACCTGGGTTCAGAAGGAGTTGCTGATTCCACGCTTGGACGTGGCCGTTGGGTTGTATCGAGGGCAGCCTGGCGTGGTGAGAGGATGGAGAGAGAGGGGTTTGAGTCAGCATCCTGGGTTCTCACATACGACCTTGGGAACATCTCCCCCCTTCTCTGGGCAAATTCTCTCACATGTAAAGTCAGGAAGTGGGGTTGAACATCCTTTAAGGTCTCTTTGAGATCTCTAAACCTAAGTTTCTCTATTGAATGTACCTACATTTGGGATATAGGCTGTTCTTGAAAAAAAAATTAAAAATTAAGGCCTCATGTTAAATACATCTTAAACTACTACGTACTGGGTTTCTTTTCTCATTTCACAATCTATTGGTGGCAGAAATCATTGCATCTCGTACACAAAACCTATTTTGCTGTAAATAGTTTGTGAATGATATGTGGCCTTTAGGACTCTGGAATGATTGAGGGTTTGAGTCCAAAATCCAGGGGGATGTGTTCCCCGCCGTGAAGCGTGAGCTGACCCCGGTCAGCTTGGATCCGTCAGGCACGGAGGGGTCCCGGAAACCTCGTGAGCCTAATCTAAGGCACGAAGTGCATTTATGATAGGGAATTCCAAGGAAGGCCATTCATCTAGCTAACCTTTTAAAATAATTTTCTCTCTAGCTTTGTAGATTTATCTGAAGACTTTTTTCAAGCTAATTGGGAAAAAGCTCCATGATTTAGAAAGATGTTTGCCTTTTCTAATCATCTCACCTGAGCTTTTTTTAAGAATGTCCATTCATGAATAAGGAGCAGGCTGCAGAGGGCTCATGAGTGACCTGGACTATATAAAACAGACAGTG